CCATCCATCCATCCATCCATCCATCCATCCATCCATCCATCCATCCATCCATCCATCCATCCATCCATCCATCCATCCATCCATCCATCCATCCATCCATCCATCCATCCATCCATCCATCCATCCATCCATTTTCTAATCCACTTAACCTCACGAGGGTAATGAGCGTGCTGGAGCCTATCCCAGCTGTCTTCGGGCATTCGGTGGGATACACTCTGAACTGGTTTGGCAGCCAATCACAGGGCACACAGAGACGAACAACCATCCACGTTCACACTCACACAGAGGGGCAATTTAGAGTATTCCATTCACCTGCCATGCATGTTTTGGAATACCCGGAGAAAACCCACGCAGGCACGGGGAGAACATGCAAACTCCACACAGGAAGGCCGCAGCCATAATCGAACCCTGCACCTCTGTACTGTGAAGCAGACGTGCAAACCCACCCTCTGATTAATTATATATTGAAAATTACATCCAAATACTACACATAAATGTGAAATGTGCTAAAATCAAAAATGAAAAAAAAATTCCACAAATTTTAAGGATCTGATACAGTGTATTGGTTGTTGCATTATATGGTATGTCATATTTTGTTATTACATGTATGGACAAAGTGTACAATTCAAGTCTTGTTTCATTGAAATTTCCATTTGTCTTGTCAAGTCTTAATAAAGTAAAGGCGGCTACAAATTCAAATTGTAATGCTAGAACCAGGTCCAGGTTCTTGCTCAGAACCACCTCTGTGACCTTTTTCAGCACTGCTCCTCCCCCAGCGAGTCCGTGTTCTCGCCCAAGTCAACGGAAGCGGTTCTCATCTTGGACCGACCCACCACTGGGTCCGGAGGGGGCCCGGGTATGCCCCCAGGACCCGGGTAGATGTCCAGCGTGCCCGAGATAGACTGCAAGGAGCGCTCTCGGAAGTAGTGGAAGGCCTCCTGGTCCAGGAAGTTCTGCTCCTCGCGGAGACCCTGCTCGAAGAGTTTGCGCTTGTGGCGAAACTCGATGACTGTCTTGGTATAGGAGTTGAGCGTGGTGACCGAGGCAGCCATGCAGCACGTGAAGGAACCCCACGCCATGCTGATGGGGGAGCACAACATTAGAACAGGAAGTTTCTAGTCAATCATCTGATTCAGCTGCTTTGGTCGTGGACATGGTAGAAACAAGAGTTTATTCCAGGGTTGGTCATTTGTAGGTCCAGTGGCAAAACGGGCAAGGCATCAGCTGCTTATGCTGGTGAGTAAGAATTTGAGTCCCACCTGAGTCATACTCTCAGTTAATCAATGTTTAAGAACGCAGCAATTTACATTTTTTACTTCTGAATGACTTGAGATTTTATCTGGGAGGATAAATAAAATTCTTTTCTGGAAATTTAGACACTTACTTTAAGAAATTACTTTAATTACTTGAAGAAATGTGTGTGAACTAACCAAAAAGACCATCCATAATCCCAGCTGTGAGGCCTCCAATCTTCAGGACCCAGACTGACGGTGATCTGAAACACTTGAGTGTACATCATGTGGGCCACCATTCCCAGAAGACCTGACACACAAAGGTAAATATTTACACTCACAGAAAACAAAGCATCATCATCAATGGTTAAAATTTCCACCATTTTCCCCTCTGAGTGGAACGATGCAACCTGTAAAAAAATACCAATTACGACTTTCCCATTAGCCTACCTTACATTGAGCTGCTATCCGTTAGCAGCTAATCAGCAGATAGCTTCCACCACTGACAATCGCAATCGGGAACTTTCTTTGCATTGTCTTGGGAAGTTTAGCGCCCTGATTGCTTGATGCCGGTGGGACCTCAGCCAGAATCATCCATCACGCTGCTTGTTCGCTGTCAAGCTGGCTAACGACACTGCTCATTCAATTCTTTTCAATGTTTTTGTCATCTGACAGTGGCTCTATTAAAAGTCAGTCGCAGCTACCAAAGACATGGCCCGCCACTGATAACAATCCAGAGTGAGCATGAAAAAAGATGGCAGGCCTTACTTAGCAGCTCAGCTCGGCAGTCGTCGATCAGAGCAGCTAGAACTACGCTAATTAGTCATCTAATGAACCCCATTGATCAATACGAGCCGGGACCGTCGGATCAATTGCACGTATGGACGTAATCATCAGTCAACATCTTAACACTCCATCAAACGCCACCACATGTCTGGCTAAGTGCGTGTTAGCCGTGCGCGCGCGCGTGTGTGTGTGTGTGTGTGTGTGTGTGTGTGTGGGTACGGTGGATGGCGGGGGTCGGTTGTGGTAAATAACAAGTGTTCGAGATTTACAGCGGACCATAAAGAGAGCATCATTCCTCTCCGACCTTGACAACGCACCCGCTCCTGTTTCTACGAAACGTGCGTCACATTTTTATGCGGAGTTAGCCGGTGTGTAAGGTCCGGAACAATCAGTGACGTCAGCTCATGCAGACACACGTGAAAGACTCATCAGCGGCTTACCTAATTAGATTTGTTTTGAGGTGTTAGTGTCATGTTTTAAAAGATGTACAGATACCAAAGTGTGGAGCCATGGTGACCAATCAAGAGCTGCGTCCTTATAAATAGCGACTGAGTGTGAGCGTGTAACTTTATGTCTTCATAAAAATAGTTCTAAACCAGGTTTTCAGAAAATGATCCCAAGCATTTTCCAAAGGAAAGATGATCCTTTCAAGTTACTCCTCATTTTAAAATCTGCCTTTTGACACAAATATTGAGCCCAATGAGCCTGGAAATTCCAATTCTCAGATGCTCTCTCACTGATCTCAGTGGACAAAGCCTCTCACGATGAAAAGAAGTCAGACGAGGAAGTGCTTGTTGCTCACTTCTAATGCAAGATGCTGCCTTGGCATCGACAGAATGGCAGCGGCGACGCCAACTTCTTGTGTAAGAACACGCACACACACTCACACACACACGAACACGCGTCGTTACGTAAGATTTAAGACTGTTCCAATCTCTGGCGGAGCAACAAGAGAGGATAACCTCTGAACTCGGATGACCTCGCAGCAAGTTCCACCGCTCTCTGGCCTCGCGATATTTCTTAACGTTCAATGCTGAGAAGAGGGCTGTGCAACAAACGCACACACACAGAAAATATTTATTTGACTTCCTCCAAGCATGAAAACAGTCGGGAGATTTAGGAAAGAATGCTTTGATCAAAATTAATTGGTTTGTTAATTAGGTTTTTGTAGGCTTAGTCTGTTGGTCGATTTATTGATCATTGGTTAGTTGGTACTGGAGCTTAGTCAGTCAGTCAAGTGGTTGGCCAGTTAGTCAGTTTAGTTGGTCTTGAGTATTTGGTTGGTAGGTTAGTTGATTAGTTGGTTGGTTAAGTCGTTGAATTGTTTGTTACCAACACTAACAGGACTGGAGTAGAGTAACACATCAAGATTTGTGAGTGCGACTATTTGTACGTTTTAAGAGAATGTGAGATTTTTATTTTTATTTTTTACCTTACCGGACAGCACGGTGAAAACGGCAGCAAAGGCGTTCAGCTTGAGCCCGTCGATGACGTTGCTGGAGTGGAAGAGCTCCAAACACATCAGGCTGAAGCCCACCACTAACAGCAGGATGTACAGGACCTCCGACACCACCGACAGCCACAGCACGCCTGGCACAACACGCGCAACTCATCAGGTACACCTTAAAAGGGTTGCGACACCTGCATCAATGTCGATGAAAATGTGCAGTTTGGACAAATGGAACAGCTACAGGAAGTGAAAAATGATGGAGAAAAGGTGGCGTTTCCATAAAATATTGGGACACAAAGTGGATAATGAAGGAAAATGTGGAGCTTGGCCGAAAGTAATTGGACATGTGCAAGAAGTGAAAATGTGGAGTTTGGACAAAAACAAAAAAAAAAGAGAGATCGACAGGAAGTGAAATGTGAAGCAAATGAAATGAAAAAAACGAAAATATGGAGTTTAGGCAAAAGTATTGGGAGAACTTTAAGTTATATTTGACTGATTACTTGAGAATAAAGAATTGTGTGCTTTGCAAAAATGATGGAAAAAAAAACAAAAAGGGTTTTTGGAGTCCAGAGGGAATCGCGTTGTCACGCTGCTGTTTTTTTGTTTTTGTTTTTTTGTTTTTTCCTCCATGTGTTTTCCTCCACACTCACAACACAAAAAAAAAGATGATCTGCTCCCACCGAAATCAAGCCGCGTCTCAAGACTGCATGCTCCCTTTTGCCATTTACTGTCACACTTCGGGCAAAAGTCAAATGAAGAGCGACAAGAGATGCATGTGGGCCTATCATATTTTTTTATGTACACACAAAACTGAATTAAAATTAAATACAGCCTATTTAGATTCAGCCGCAATCACATGCACAGCAGGTATCAAATGTTTTTACCGCCCCACTGACAGCAGGCGACACTTGCAGGCATGCGACCGGTCACTTCATTAGTCTCCGATTGACAGACGAGTGAGGTGAAAAGATTAGCGTGACCACTCTCCATTGATCTCCCGCCAGCAATCGGAGGATTACGGCGTGACAGCATGTCGAAACGCAAGGCCTCGAGTGATTTTCAACCAATAAATGTGGCGCAGATAAAAAAAAAAGGAGGTCGTGACAGCTGAGGTTAAAGTTGAAGAGGGTTCGCCACATGCATACACGGGATACTTGTATGACAGATCACACTGTAAATCGCAAGTTATTACAATTTATTAGCTCAGAATATATTGAGCCTGCGTATTTGGCCGCATGGGAAAAAAAAGGATTTCTTTCATTAGATAATAAAAATTTAATTTGTTAAATATTGCTATCGTAATATTCAACAATATCACACTCGGAGAGTTGATTATTTCCTATTTTTTTTCGCAACAGATTTATCTTGTCTTTTCTCCCTGTCATATTTTTGACAATGTCGAACGACATATTATATTATTTCTTTCCACAGGTGGGAGCAGCATATTGGCCGTCACCAAGCGATTGGTCAGAGGAAGGACGCTAACTTTTTTTTCGACCCTCTGTTGAGTGCTGTGTGGGGCCTCATCCCAATCTTCCACTTCCCTCCCGGTCAACTGTTGTGTTTTGGACCCGTCATCCACTTGTGAGTACTGCACGTAGATGAAGAGAATACTGTGGTGCCGTCTTTTGAATTAGTTTATGACAGGATGCACGCCATTAGATGATTTGCGTTGAATATGCTGCAGGAAGGTAGGTAGCTTGTGTTTGACAGTGTGGATGTACTTATGTGTAGGAGATATTAATTTGCATGTGTGAATGTAGGTAGATAGTCTATGATGTGATGCACATCTGTAGGTAGACAATGTATGCATCCGGGTAAAGGGAAAATATGTATATGTATGAACCGCTGATTGAAAGAAGGCCTATCTCTCAGCATGGACTCAATTCTCCATCCATTTCCCACTCTGTGATTTCCTCGAGCAGGCGAGGACGCGTAATGGCTGTCATTACTCACCTCTCTCCGAGGCGGGGGCCAGGTCAATGAAGCTGCGACACTTCTCACCTGAGACACACAGAAAGACACGCGACCAAGGGAGATGAAGCAACGGGAGAGGCAAAGAAGGACAAGGTGAGAGCGGCTGCGAATCAAGAAAACGTACCCACGCATATTTGGACTCTATTAGAGCAAGGGGAAGATCAAAGAATCAAAGTGACATAAATCTCGACACACTCTACGATGTGTATCTGATACAGTGCCATGAATAAGCTTTTGCCCCTTTCCTGATTTCGGTGTTCTTTGCGTATTTTTCACACACAGAGCTTTTAGTTAATCAAAATTTTAATATGACACAGAGACAACCCAAAGAAATAAAGAATGGAGTTTGTAAATGCCAATTGAATTTATTAAAGGTGAAAAAAAAATCAAAACCTATCTGTACCAATGTGAAAAAGGAATTGCCCCCTGAACCTAACAATGGGTTGTGCCACGCTTGGCAGTAATAACTGAAATCAAGCTTTTGCGGTAATTTGTGATGAGTCTTTCACTACGCTGTGGAGGAATTTTGGCCCACTTTTGTTCGCAAAATTGCTTTAACGCTGCCATATTGGTGGGTTTTCGAGCATGGACTGCCAGTTTAAGGTCACAGCACAGCATTTCAATTGCATTCACTTTTTTTTTTTTTTTTTTTTTCCGCATTCAAAGGCGTACTTGCTGGTTGGACTGCCAGTTTAAGGTCACAGCACAGCATTTCAATTGCATTCACTTTTTTTTTTCCGCATTCAAAGGCGTACTTGCTGGCGTGTTTCGAATCGTTGTCCTGCTGCATGATCTAAGAGCTCTTGCGTTTGAGATTGCAAATTGATGGTCGGATGTTCTCCTTCAGGATTTTCTGATAGACAACAGAATTCATTGTCCCATCAATCACAGCAAGCCGTTGTGGTCCTGAGGTAGCAAAGCAGCCACAGACCATCACACTGCCACACCCACCTCAGCTCAGACAGGAATGTCGGATGAAGTCATGCGCACGTGTTTTGATTAAAGTAATTCTTAGATTAAATAAGCAGGAGTAAAGTAGTTGTACCAATACTAGACAAGTCCCACAGCGTAGTCGTACGTTTTTGTGTTTTTCCAGCGCGGCGTAGTTATGCGACATTCATCATCACCAAGGTTAACGTGAGAAGAAAAAAACAGATGGGATGTTGCTGCCGCCAAAAATGCAGTGAGCAGAGAAAGGCATCTGATTACCCACGTGAATCTGAAATGTAATTAAGCTTCATCCGCAACCCGAAGGGCCCGCGTCGCTTTTCACATCCTAACGGGGACCAAAAGTTAAATATTAAAACGTCATCAGTGGACTCAGCTAATCACTGAAATGCCATTCAGGCACGAGTGTTGCCACGTGAACTAACCGTCAAATCAAGGCTGCTGCTGCAGCCTTTTTACCTGTCACGATAAAATGCCAGTTCAATTAACCCCACCCTCCTAAAAATGAAAAACAACACAACTTTCAACTGTTGATAACCTCTCTCTTTCAAGACCCTTTGCAGTGAATTCCAAATTTGATTTCTAAATACAACATACATGTTTCGAGATAATTGTTGAACATGTGCAAAGACTGCAAACTATGTCGTACGGTAGCTCATCAGCAGTTATTCAGCACAACATGAAATTAGCTAGCGATGCTTTTCCTGTCGGATAGTCCACTGGCATGGCCGCTTTAGAGCGCCTCATTGGAGGACCACCACCGTGCACACATTCCGCAGCGAGAGATGAAATAGCGAGTCAGGCAAAATTTGGTTTTGGCTTCAAGTCCGACGTGATAGTCAGCGTGTGAACCGGGGCTTCGAGCTGTCATGACTGTTTTCAGGTGCTTGGTTATTGTTATATTTTCACGGCTCACATACGTAATTGTGCGCAGGCATAAGAAAGACGCTCGATGAAGTCGCGTTCATTTTCCAGGTAGCGGTGGTATTTGATTGACAGTTATGAGGGGTGCGGTTTCATAGCATTCGGTGGACACGCCCACTGCAGGAACAGAGAGAATGGATTGATTTTTTTTCCATGATTTTGAAGCTTCATTTTATATGCTTAATGGTTATTTTAATCATTTGTATTTGGCTGTTTATTAGCATGTATTATTTATTTATTTCTTTTTGCGAGGCGCATCCCCACCCTGCACATCTTGTACAGAGCCCCCCACCCCCCAATAAAGAGGTTCCAAATTCCCCATGTCATCATGCAACCATTCTACATTCGACAGTCCTTTCACATAGCAAAGCTGCTCTGTGCGACCGCACGTATCGCACATGCCAGACACCACCGCTGCCCTGGTCACAGGCATCGCTAATCATTTGCGTTACGAGCGCATGAAACCGCAAGTGTGATAGTTGTTGAAAGAAGTGTGGCCAATTAGAGAAGAGCATCGTTAGTAAGAAATATTAGCTCACCAATCAATGTTCACATCCTAAGTGAACTCATTCATAAAGCTCCCCCGGGGGGCTATCTTGGAGAATCCTCCAGGTGATCGTCACAAATACAGATCACAGGATGGAGTGCAAGGTTTGATTAATTTTCCTTTTATTGATTTTGGAAGCCTTAGAAGCCCTTACATTTAAACTGAGAGCAAACATTGGTTTGATGAAGAACATCAGAACGTAGAACTCCTGGTCGAAACACAAGAAAATCGACATGACTGTGTACTTGACCAAAAAGCCAAAAGATGGTGAGATTTTGTAAAACATTCACCAATTATGTGTCATGTGCTGGAAATGATCAACTCAGCATAACTTGGTGTAAGGATTTATGATCGTGAATACTGAACAGGTTTAAAAGTGATTCTTTTCAAGATGAGTGAGATGGAAAAATAATTCTTTCCACACCCCACATGACAAGATAATCTCTTTTACAGGGTTCCATTAATTGGCCCGATGCGAATTTTGATTGGAAACGAAGGCTCGGATTTGTTCCAATTATGAATACGTCTGTACCCCACATCACAGGATAATTGCCCAGGATAATCCTTTTGAGGCATACGATAATCAGACCTTGGCTGATGATGATCAAAGATGTTGTGGAACGGGTTTCCACTTAAAATTTATTTTTTGGGGCGGTGGATTGACATTTTCCCGAATTGAGCAGTGAATGATGGCGTGAATTATTGGTCGCTACATGCCGACGTACGGAGGAAGCGGCAAGCCATGAGAGTGGGCACGTTGGTGAACATCCAATCCAGTGAGTGACTCTCCATTTTCATCGTGTGCACTTGACTGCAGGCACCCCAAATTGACATAAAAGGAACAATCATGCGCTTTTATTGCACATTGGATGACAAAACGTCAATTTTAATGTTTTCAAATAAAAAGAAAAAAATCGATTGGATTCAAACTATAAAATTTCTTTGTTCTGCACCTTTGAGGCGAGGTGGCCGAGGCGTTGCACAAATGCTCCGTTACGACTGACAAAAGCACAACAGCTCAATTTCTGTCCAAAATGCGGCCGATCAAAATGGAGCGCAGTTCTTGGCTGCAACCTGCAGAGGCGCCATTGAGTCATCCAGCAATGGGTTTGCTGTCCAAAGAAGAGACAGGACATTGTCTAGTGACCAGTCTGTTGTTTGTCCACATGTACCGTTCGACAGACAGGCAACCAGTTCAGGGAATACCCCAACTCAGGCTAAAAGCTGGGATAAACTCGAGCTCACCTCGCTACAACTGAATAAAATTTGAGTGATCGCAAACAACTTGCTTGCTTTGTTGTGTTAAATGTCAATCATTTACATTTGTAATTTATTAAACTTAAATTACTTCTTTAGACCCCCAAAATACAAGTTGTGTTTTTTACAGTGTCTGGAAAATAGCTGGCTGGACTAATTGATCTTTATACACGGAAATAGGAGCACAAAACATTCCATTCTATTAAAATCATGAATTAATACTATTACATTGGTCAACACTTTTTAATCAGGGATGATGTAAACTTTTTAAGATGATTCTAAATCTGCCCTTGTTTTTTTCCTCCAGCACATCAAGCTTTCATAATAATAAAATAAAAATGCAATAATAATAATATAATATGTAATGTAATAGTGTATTTAGTCATATTTTTGATTTCTGGGTTAAAGTTCAGCAACAGGTGGATTTTTTCCTGACACATCACAGCTTAATTGTACAACGCATGGATAGGTGAACTCCAGAAACAAACAATTAAAATATCTCAAAAGCTGATGAAGGCATTTTTGAAATCAGCGTCAAAATTACATTAGGGGCACATCTTGGGTTAAAATTTGCTGTCGTATGTACCAAGTTTTTAGAACTGCGCCTTTCCTCCGTGCAGGCTCCTTGAACGCATCACAGCCTTGATAAGTTTCAATGAAATGACGTCACACGCCACAAAAAAAACCGGTTGTCATTGCTGACAGCTCACATCCCCCGCACGCGCGCACGCATACTCCAAACTTGCGCGTCTTCACGCCCGGCGCCGCTTTTACGCACTGCTCCCGCACCCACCTGCCTCGTGGATGTTCTCCTCGCACGAGTACCAGATTCCCGTGTGGAAGCGTCTGAAGAGGAAGCGGTCGTCGCCGGTCTCCCAGCTGTAGTGCACCTTGCTCTGGTCCGTCTCGTTGACGCCGTAGTCGATACAGTTGTGGCGCCGCTGTGCGCTACAGTTGGGCTTGGGCACCCGCTGCGTGCCCTCGCACCAGTACGTGGTGATGAAGGCCGTGGTGGAAAACAGCAGCGCCACCAGGTTCAGGCCCACCGACAGAAGAGCGCGACACTTACGCGTCGTCTTCATGGTCGCGGCGGTGGAAGAGAAGGCGGCGGCGGCGGTGGTGGCAGTGGCTGGAGGCGCGTCAGGCGGCTTGGAGCGCGGGCGGCATGACGCACGGGGTAGGGAACCGCGTGCTCCTTATCTTATTTGACGTCCCCCTGTCTTTCTTAGTCCTCCTGTGGTCGCTCCGGTCCGGTGGTCTTGTCGGGCGTGAAGTGTAAAGACAGGAGGACTTGTGTGGTGCACGTCCCCCGCAGCTTGTGACTGGACTTTTTAGCGCGCGGCAGGCACGCGCAATGACTTTCTCTCTCTCTCTCTCTTTCTCTCTCTCTCTCTCTCTCTCTCTCTCTCTCTCTCTCTCGCTCTCGTGCTTCACATACACTGAGCAGCCTTACACACTTTGAAACACACACACACACACACACACACACACAGTATCTTTCCAGAAATCCCCCCCCCAACACACACACACACACACAAACACATTCTCCCCAAATTCCGCTTCCTTCCTTGTTTCCTTCCTTCCTTCCTTCTTTCCTGTTGTTCATGTCATGTTCCATGGAGGGTGAAGAATGGGTGAAAAAGCTGGTGATGGATCATCAGCTGGTGGAGACAGATAGGTGGGTGTAGAATTCACAGGTGACAAGAACTTGACCCCCTCCAGCCTTCCCTCCAAATGACAATCCATCACCTGACATTTTACAGCCCCACTCCAAGGCCGATCGCAAGCCTCTGGTGTGTTTTTGTGTGTGTGTGTGTGTGTGTGTGTGTGTGTGTGTGTGTGTGTGTGTGTGTGTGTGTGTGCGCGCGTGTGTGTTTGCATACATGTTCGGTCATTCTTAATGCCGGAGACGGCAGAATCAATACAATACAGTACATGCTGATTTAAACAGTACAAAACAAATTGGAATTATATTTTTAAATCTGTTTTAATATTCCTTTGCCTTTTTTTAATAGTTCTTTCGTGTGTGTGTGTGTGTGTGTGTGTGTGTGTGTGTGTGTGTGTGTGTGTGTGTGAGATTAGTTGAGTGTGAGTAGTTTTACTGTATTTTACTTGTATTGCACAATTGTGGAGCGCTAAGTGCATTTTTTTATTTTTATTTATTTATTTATCTATCTATCTGATGGACAGTATTTGACAATCGTGAGATTGTGGAAGGTTAACTTTGTCGCTCGCTTTGAGCTAATGCGGCTAACGATCTGCGTGAGGCTACTTTTTGTGGTGTTATTTTACTCACCATGAGCTAACACGCTAACTGACTCAGCAGCGTTGTGTCAGATGTTTACGTGTGTGTGTGTGTGTGTGTGTGTGTGTGTGTGTGTGTGTGTGTGTGTGTGTGTTTAATTGCCATTCCCTTCACACTTTGTTGCTCAACACACACTAAAGTAGAGGGAAGAGTAGTTTCCAGCAAAAGGAAGCCACCAATTGATTGTATGCTCAGTTGTCTTTGGTTTTGCAAGCAGGCGTCCATGCAGGCAGCTCCGATGTTGTTTGTCAAGACCCGGAAACATATTTATGCAAATGTCCTCCTCAGGATGAATGTACGTAAATGTGTGGGTGAAGATGTGCGCCTAAATATTCTCTACTTCATATTAGCTCCACCGAGAGGCAATCAGGTTTGTTTAATGGTGGTTTTTCATTGTTATTGTTGTTGGCATTGTTAGTGGGCACCTGTATTCTTTGTTGTCCACAATGTGTATAGAGAAGCCGCGTTGACGCCAGGCTATACTCCACCTAGGGAGTAAAAAGTCAAGTGTGACATCAAGGTGGGATTAATTCTCATCCGAGGGTTGACACTGAGTCACCGGATTTAGGAGTATGTGTTGAAGGCTTCCTTTCGGAAGTGGACGGGGACACAAATTGTTCAGGTGAAAGCCAACGTCTGTTTAACTGCAACTGTGAAAGTTTTAACAACAAAAAAAAAACATGTGAACCAGTGAGTGCAAATTTCAAGAAGAATCCATGCATTGGGTTTGTTTGGAGCAACGAAATGCTGAAGATGAAAGGCTTTCAGAATCAATACTTGAATTATAATTTGCAAACCAGAATCAGGTTTCAAATCAGATGTTTTTTAGGGTAAGAATCAGTTTTAGAATCTGTATCAGATTTATAATCCATTTTACAGACAGATTTAGAATCACAAATAGTTTTCAAATTACAATATACATTTTTTTGGGGTCCGATTCAGAATCAGATCCTTTTGTGAAAACGATTGAATTTTTGAAACAGATTTAGAATTATTTAATATTTGATTGAGAATTAGGGTAGTGCTTTGCCCCCCAAAAATTGTCCTAATAGGATTTCCCAGTGTGTTACCTTCCCCAAACGCTGACTTCCCAACAGCTGGCGTGTCTTCGCATGGCGCTTCATTGACTTGACAGATTGGTCCCCGGCAGAAGTCCGCGACAGCCTCGGAGAGACAACAAAATCCCTCTGGTGGCCATTTTAAATTTCACAGCTGTTTCGATCTGGCTGCAAATGAGCGACCTCTCAGGTGGCGAATGTCGCGCACACCTGCTGCACCCTTTTAGTCAGGCCCCTGGCAAGCACTTTCGAGTGACACCCCCACCCCTACCTCCCCTGCTCTCTTCAGATGGCGACCGCTCACCCAATCACAACCGCTTCAGTCTGAGTGAGTAAATATTTCTTCTTTATATGCCGACTGGACACTTCATGAGGCATACTGGGTGAATTTGGACGAGAGAAAAGGGTCCAATCTGGATAGTTTGGCAGACAGACTGGTCGCCAAATCAACGTCAGGACACATTCAGACAAAGACTGACTGATTGAATGTCAATCAATGTGAGACTACTGTAGACTAAACCAGGAATGGGCAAATTGAGGAAATTAAAAAAAATATATAAATTTATTGCAACGCCCCCCCCCCCCAAAAAAAAACACTGACAAACATTCCCAGTGTATATATTCCATGAAAAAAATGGAAGTACATGTGGGAAGAAAAAAAAATCATATGAAAACAAACAAAAAAACAAAAGAATTGGTCCACAAATATGCTAACTTGCCAGGACGCTTTTGGCGTCCTTGAGGAAGGCGAGACTGTCCTCCCTTTCTTCCTCCTCTTCTTCCTCTTCCCTTCCTCCGCTCACCTTGTTTCAAATTAATCTGCCCAAGGCCAGCGGGGGCAGAATTTATCAAATTAGGACAGCGATGCGCACGAGATCAATGACACACACGCACGCGTGCGCACACACACTTCAACAAACACCCGTTGGAAAAGACAGACACACACGAGTTGCTCGATGGCGTGATGACGGAATACGAAAGGCGACAGGGATGAGCTCCCCACCGAAGAGACTTGATTGACTTTCTCTTGTAGGTTACGGACCCTTTCGCTGCTTCCTATTCACACTGTCGGAACTTGACCCCGAAATTTCCCGTAGCAAGCGCTAAAAGCTCACAACTTGAGGTGGAACGAAGAACTATTGTATGTTTGGATTGTGGGATTGATTGTCTCAAGTTTGTACTGAGCCTGGAAGACCTAAAAGAAGATTCCAAAATTCATTCTGACTGTAGAACCGATTCTGTTTCTAAATCTGATTCGGATTCTAAAATTCATCTATCCATTTTCTGTGTGTGTGTGTGTGTGTGTGTG